CGCCAGCTGCAGGAGGGTTAAGACAGCGGCAGCAACCACCGCACGGGCATCACCGCGTCACCGCGCAGGCTGGGATAAAACCAAAGCAGCTGCCACCAACTCCAAACTGGGGTCGTCCCGGAATCGGGCGCTCGGCACAGCCATCAAACCAAAATTCAATGGACCAGCGATGCACGCCCGGAGGGACAAACACCTTCCCGCGACCCCCCCTCCGGCTCACCTGCATTTCCATGATGGACATGAGGTCCTGCCACTGCTGCTCCAGATCGAAGGGCGACTCGGTCTCGGTGAGGAGCGGAGACAGCAGGCTGGTCTGGATGCCCGCGGACCTGCTCTCGTCGGGCACGGCTTCGCTCAGGGTGGAGACATCCGCAGCTGGAAACTAACCACGTGAGGAGAGTCAGTCCCCGGCTGAGCGGCCGCGGCCGGGGAGGCAGCAATCCCAAATGCCCTTCCACCTCCATACGGGCAATTGCTTCTCCTTTGTTCAAAGCAAACTGGTTGCAGTTATTCCTCCACAGTTCGCTATGAACTAATTAGAAGCAAAGCCAGAAGTCTTTAATTAATTGTGACCACCCCACCCCACTGCTAGTTTCGCAGGGACGATGCCTGGAGCCTCCTTAAGCAGGCTAACCCAATTTGCTGCCGGTTCCGCGGTCTGGGGTAGGGGTACCAGAGGCACCAAAACCCCGGCAAGCGAGCAAAGGAGAGCCGCCGCTGCCTCTGGATTCGCTGAGGGGTGGAAACCGTCGCCCCATCCACTCACCTCCGAATTCTCCCCAAAAGGGAAGGTGGCCTCCAGCAGCCTAAGGCACTCCTCCAGGGACAGGGCTGTCTGATCCTCCGCACCGGGCACCTGATGTAAAACACAAGCAATCGTAGCCCCGGGATTAGGGAGGTGGTGATGAGAAACGAGCTCCTTACAGCAGGGCTTTATTACAGCGCATCCAAAAAGAGCCAGAGGCCCCACCCAGTGCTTCGCAGACTCCATCCTCCTGCTCCGGAGAGCGTCAGAGCGGCCCCCCGAGCGCATAAAAGTAAACGTGCTGCCTCTGCTCCCGGTGAGCCTCACCTACTGCCAGAGCAAGGACTCTGCTACGGACCGGAGGGGACTCTGCACCTACCCGCGCCACCGCCTCTGCCAGACAACCAAAAGGCGCAGCA